TCCTCCCAGCAACAACAACTGCAACATAGCCAACAGCAAATGCAACAGATGCAGCAGATGCCACCACCACCTCAGCATTCCCCAACACAAAACAGCTCATCTCCTATGACGCAGCATAGCCAACCTCAGGCAAAACAGGCAGGAGTCCATCACTTGGAACAGCAACCCCAACAAGGAAGACCCCAAACTCTGTCACCGCACGCTGAATCAATCTGGGGCACTGGAACGCCACCCCAAGCTTCTCCTTGTAAGTTTGACCTTGCCCTTTTTGGTGCTCATTGCTTTAAAAATTTTCCTGACTTGTTAGGGACACACTAGTTTTCAAGTCAGCAACATACAAACCTTTTCATTGAGATGATGAAAACTTGCAACAAACGATCAATCTTTATGGTATCACCATTTTCCCGTGCTAGAGCAAAATTTGGTGACCATGGCCTTCCTAACCCCCCTCCCCCCGCCCTTAGAAAATCTGAGTTACACCTCTGAGCATGGCATAGAGTTTTGAAAGAAGAATAAATAAGAGGCTGAAAAATGAATAGTAAGAAAACTTGGAGATTATCTAGAAATTGTATTGAGTTTCCTCTTTCTACAGCCATCATTGCACCTGGTCCTTGGTCTCCTGTAACAACGACATCGGCTGGAAAAGGCTGGGATACAGAAAATAGGTAAAGTTGTCTTGAGTGTCCTAGGTGTTGAGCTTTCCACTTTGGCTTCTTCTGCAGGTATCGATCAGGAATCTTTCTCCTCTGTCTTGATTGGGTTCTATTCCATGACAAGCCGATATTGCGGGCAAATTATAAAGAGTGTTAGTGGCTTTCATTAAAAAAAACTGATATACCACAAGCACTCTTATTGGTCAAACCTTTCGTTTATTGCACTGGCAAACCCATAGAAAATTGAAGTTTGTTTATAAAAGTAATAAACCACACTTTCTGTCGGTTTATCAGCGTGATAACTCACTTGAGATGTTGGGAGAACACTCGAATAGTTTGCAAATCACACGCCGAAGGCAAGCGATTTACAAACCTTTTCAAGTGTTTTCCTAACATTCTGTGTGGGTTTTGACGGCAGTAAACAGATAGAAAGTGCGTTCTATTTCTTAGAAATATATTTTTTGGAACTTGATGTTATTCAATTTTTACTAAAATGACACTTATGGATGCACCTTTCTTTTTCGTTAAAACCGTTGCCTTGATCGAGAAAACTGTTGAAATAGAATGAAAAAAAAATTTGTGAGCTCCTCCGATAAGGAAGTGGCCTATGTTAAGCCTATTTTTGACCAGTGTTTTTTTCAACATTTCCTTCCATTTTTTCAGCCAACAGAATGTTCCATCCTTTGAGGAAATACAGAGAATGGAAGAAGAGAAAGAAAAGCAGGCAAGGGTAAGGCTATTATAGTTCTGTTGATTCGCTAGCATTGGCGTCATATCTTGGAGCCTATTTCTTACCATATTCCCCTTTCTTATCCAGCTTGAAATGGAAAGAAGAGAAGCTAATGCCAGGGCTATGAGACTGAAGCAAGAGGAAGAAGAACGGAGACGCGCGCAGGAGGCAGCCATGCTCAAGAAACAACAACAAGAGGACGAGGAAAGACGGCAATTGCAGGAGACGGAAAGAAGAAGAAAAGAACAAGAAGAACTCAGAAAGGTTGGTGCGTGAAGCAGATGGCTGGGTTCAGGGATTTGGAAATGATTACTAATTTAAGAAGCTAGAGATTTGGAAGTGATCCTCGCAGTGATGTGCACTACTTAGGCAGTAGTGAAAATAAGGCCTGAAAAAAAAAATTCAGGCCTGTACGGGATTTGAACCCATGACCTCTGCGATACCGGTGCAGCGCTCTACCAACTGAGCTAACAAGCCAATTGAGAGCGGGTCATGATGGTGGTTCTAAATAAACCCGTGAAGTGATGAATAGACGGTTAAGAATACATGAAAGTCATATATTTGAATTTCAGGCCTTATTTTCACTACTGCCTGAGTAGTGCACATCACTGCGAGGATCACTTTCATCCACGTCTTTATCCGCAGTTCAAATATATGACTTTCATATATTCTTAACCGTCTAAGCTAGAGATTGTTGGCAAATTTTTCTTTGTAAGCACCTCAAGAAATGTATTGGAGATCAGTCGGGAGAATTTGCATACTGATGTTTGGGTGGAAAGGGTGAAAACTTCTTGAGCTGCAAATGACAATATTTGAAGTTTCTCTTATCATTTTTCTAAGAAACAGGAAGAAGCGCGAAGAAAACAAGAAGAAGAGCTAAGAAGGAAACAAGAACAACAGGAAGTGTTACGCCAACAAGAACAGCAGCAACGGCAACAGCTTGAGCAACAGAAAGCGGAGCAGAAGCGACTACACGAGGTACGGCAACAGCAGCAGCAAGCTCTTCTTCGACTCCAGCAGCAACAGCAAGAACTCCAGAGAAAGAAAGACTTGCAAATAAAAGCCGAATTGCAACAGCGGGAGTTGCAGCAGAAACTGCAGCAGAAGAGACAGGAAAATCAGGTGAGTAGGTCATTTTTAATTGAGGCTGACCTTTTTGCAACGGCTGCCTTTTGAGGACAGTGGGAAGAGGCCTTTTTAGAGAGGTTACCTGCGCGGAGAATTGATTTAAGTATGAGACATATTAAAGGAACAGGGACAGGAAATTTGAGGAAGTTTTGGCCAATTTCAGGTTTGGCTTATAACGGTTAGTGTTAGTATCGTAGTAGCAACTGCGCACTTACTCCTCCCTTAACCCAACAACAGTCAACTGAAGACAAGTTCGGGTAAATGTTGGGTTAGGGGAGGGGTAGGTGCGCTGTTGGTCGGGTACTGACATTGATCCGTTATAACTCTCATGGAATAACGTAATTTTGACACCTTGAAAGCGGCATGATGTTGGGCGGCCATTTTGGCCACCTGTCAGCGGTTTCAACGTTTGCTCATGTACAGACGTTTGACCACCGTTTTGTCTGTCTGTTTCTCTATGCAGACGTCAGGAGGGTCTCTGTGGGGTTCTCCTACCCCTATGTCAGGTACTATGTCCCTAACCCAGATTCAACAGCAGGAGGAAAGAGACAAGGTGCAGCGGGAATTCAAACTGCAGCAGCTTCAGGCCCAGCAGAAGAGGGAACTACAGACACGGGGTGTACCAGGGTGGGGTGAAAGACCACCTGTGGTGAATCAGCCTGTCAAGTCTTTGCTACAGATACAACAGGAGCAGGCCCAGCAACAGAACAAAAGGCAGCAGGGGCCTGCTTTGTCAAGATCACAGGTAGGGAAACCGCTCTGTTTAGGAGATGGGGCAGTTTCTAATTGGGTGTCGAAAAGACAAGACCGCGGTTATCGCAACGGCCAATCGGGTAGTTTTTCAACACTTTTGTACTCGATAACGTATACGATCCCAGAGGATACTCTGTCTTGTAGTGCTTGTGTTGAACCTTTCCGCCTTTTCGTCTTTATTCAGCCGAGTCACAATCCTCTCAGTTCGTCAGTGTGGGGGAATGCTGGACACCTTTCAGCATCTTGGGGACCAGCTCCCAATTCAGCTAACATCTGGGGCTCAACACCATCCAAGCCTCCTCCTCCTCCTCAACAGCAGTATGATGACGAAGACGACGACGAAGACGATGATGACGACGACAGCGATGAGGAAGGTGGAGCATTCTGGGATGATGCCGTCAAAGCTGCGAGTAAGAGTCGTGAACAACAACAGCAACAGTTTGTACAACAACAGCGACAGCAACAAAAAGCCAGGTGAGGTTACTTGAGAGAGTAAGGTCCACTTTGAACGTACAACCCATCAATGTCAGTATCTGAGCAGCTGCATACCTGCCCCTCCCCTAACCCTAAAACATTCAACTGATGACAACTAAGGGTTAATTTGGTTGGGGAGGGGGGGGGGAAAGTGTGTAGTTGTTCAGATACTGACATTGGTCTCGTAGGGCCTTGCACGCATCGAACTTAAAACTCTTCGCTTTGACGAAGGGCTAACGCCCAAAACGTTAGCTTTGGAAACTCTCCACGGTGGTGAATTTACATTATCAGTTGATAAAACCAAGTTATCCTGTAATATCCCACCCACTCGGCATCTCAATTTTCTTCGGAAACTTACCCCTCTTGAAAACCTTCGTGGTCGACCCAAATGATAATTTTCGACGGTTAATTCATACGTTGAATTCAATTAGTCGAAATTGTGCCCTAGAGAAAGAAGCAAAATATTTATTTTACTAATTTAGGCATTTTATCCAGCAACTGGAAAGTGTTACATTTGAATCAAAGTGTCGAAGTCACCTTTCCCCTGTAAACCAAATGGTTTTTTTTTTATTTTTTATTTTTTTTACCAATTTATTTTTGGCTTGTTACGTTTGAGTAATTGAGTGTGCGACGTTTAAAGTTGGCCCAGTAGTACATGAACTATACACGGGAACGTTTGGTAGAAATTACGTCTAAGAAAAAACAAGATTTTGGTGTGGTTTTTGCCCCCCAAGTCGTGTACTTAACCTTTTTGGCCGAGCAGTAATTTTCACGTTCAGTTGGACATCATAAATACATATCTGATTGTGTGATGACTCCGTTTTTTTCATATAAATAGTAATTTGAATATCTAGTACTCATTTCACAGTGTTTGATTTGTCACAGAGAACCACAAAGATTTTTATACTTGGCTTTAACGTTATGTAATCGGTAGAAATAGTTTTTAGTCAGTAGAGCGTTTATGCAGTGAAGTCGTTCCTTTTTTTCCTTTTCTAGTCAACCTCAAACCAATATGGCGTCTGATAAGCGAGCTAATAGAGACGAGGTGAGTGAAGATAATTTGTATCACAGTAAGTGGAGTGGATCCTCTGGTTTTTTCTTGACATTATATTTGATGATAGCAAAGCTTGGAATCGTTTGTAATTCCGAAGCTTTGACCAAACGTTGGAAAATACTTGAACCGCTTCAAGCGCGGAAAATATGCTACCAGCTCCAAGCGCGGGAAAACATGTGAATGGCTAGTGTCAAACACGAAAAACTGTCACGCTGGGAAAAAGAGCGGGAAAACGCGGTTGTGGTTCTACCTCTGATTGGTTGGGTAATGACGCTTGTGTTGATCTTGGGACCAATCATGGCTTAGCAAATGTCAATCAAAGCAACAGAGGTTATTACTTTTCAGACTACAAAAAAATAGAATAGAAAAAAAAAATCTTGTTAATTGTGTTGTTTATTGTAGGAAAACTTGAGACGGCTTTTCCACAGTCAACCCAGTGTGGACGAGTTTTCTGTTTGGTGTGACCAAGCGCTCCGCAGCCTAAATATCGCTTCAGGAATTGACAGTGAGTTACTCTTGAGCGGCTCGTTGAATTACTGTGGGCCTGAACCATAAATAACTAATGAGTACCTGTTTATTATTTTATCAGTTCCAACATTCTCGGCATTTCTCAGTGATGTGGAATCACCGTATGAGGCAAGTACAGCTGTTCATATTAGTTTTTTGGTGATCGTAGACTTAATAAGGAAAAAATAAGGGGACATCCTCGCTCAGCTGAATTTGAAAACACTAGGGCCCGGTTGTTCAAAGGACAGCCGGATAAATTTACGTGATAAATAAATCAGATAAGAGTTAAGTAAACACTTATATGCGCTCTATACCGGATAGAAATTTATGCGGTGGATAGCGTTATCTGCTCTTCGAACAAACAGGGCCGACTGTAACAAAGTACTGAGTTTGGACGAAGTTCGAAGTTATTTCTCAGAGGAGTGTGTGATACACAAACCTAATAGTTTTATTTCCTACATTTTGGCTTATTAATGACTGTTGCGGCAAGAGGAACAGAAGCTGTGGCCAGGTGACAGTTGTTGTCAAAATAACGGCGTCCATAGTCGAAAGCTTTGCACATTTGAAGGCATTTTTAGCAGGGTTAGGTTACTCTTAGTAATCTCAACAAGTGAATACCCAGTAGATGTTTTGAAATACGCTTTTATGGCGGAGAAGAAAATGGTATGGTTTCCGGAGCATAATGTTTGTTTTACCTTCTCATTGCCCAAGTCTCTTAAGTAGCTCTCCTAACTGTGTGCCGTACAATTCTTATGGCATTAGTACGGAGAACTTAGTATGAGATCAAGTATAATCCCCTAATTGCCTCTTTTTTTCCCTTTACTCTCATCACTTGTCTGCTTAATAGTGTATCAATATTGTTAGGACAAATTCTGTCTGAGTCACTCATGGGAGATAAAGGCCGGGTTAAGTGACAGTCACGAAGAAAAAGTTCGACGAAAATACACTTGTATGCAACAGACTGCAGGTCGAAAATATGAAAGAAAACGTATTACTATTGAAAGGAATTCAATGTAGTTTTTGATCTTTAAATTTCTTTGGTTTCTAATTTCTCTTAGGTTTACGACTACGTCAAGTCTTACTTAGGAGACAATCGCGAAACGAGAGATTTTGCTCGCGAGTTCATCGAAAGAAGGAAGAAACAAAAGGACAAAATTCCTGCTTCTCTTCCACCGTTTTCTCAAGTAAGTGTAACCAATTTCGCGTCGTAAAACATCAAGTAAGTGTTGAATGGCGCGTAAAGAGCCTTAAGAGCGGATGACCGAAGGGAGAATGCGACTCTTTCTGGCGCCCTATTATAACAACAAATCAACTGTAGGCCTTTTTTTTAGTTTGTAGAACAAAAGAAAACAGAAAATGATCTGCACTTTGCTTCAAAGAAAGCAATCTGCCTTCTGGCTGCCTTGCGCGACTCCTACACGTGTGTGGTTAAGTTCCGTAATAACTAACGAGAAGTGTTGGAAAGATATGTAACTAGAGGCCTGTTTCTCGGAAGTCCTTTTGCCTACTGCTCCGGAAAAGCGGGAGTTGATAAAACCAGGTTGTCTTGTAATACCACTTACTGACGCAGCACAACTTTAGAAATTTACGCGCTGTATTCATTTGAAGTTTAGTGAAGGCCAAACTGCAAAGAGGTTTTTGTTTGGTTATTCCGTTTAGGCAAGTGTGTGGGGTGCACCTGTTCCTCGGGGACCATCTGCAGCCAGGCCCACGAATATGACCCAATCAGGCGCCTTCCTATCGGGTCCACCTCAAGAGGATCCTCAGGAAGCAATGAATAAGAAGAAAAGAAAGAAAAAGATGCAGAAAGTGGACCCGAGCATTTTGGGATTCAGCGTGAATGCGGCGGATCGAGTGAACATGGGAGAAATACAGACTGTCGAAGACTAGCAATGAGACCTTTAAACAAATGCAAAGGTGGCGACAAAGCTTCGCCTTGGCCTTTTTCGAAACAGAAAAAAAAAGAAACAAATTGTTTTATATGTTAGACCAAATATCGAGTAGCGAATTTTTAATCGGCGACCGCGTGGAGCGGTGGAGAAATGTGGACTGTACAAACTGTAAATGGCGAACAAAAGCTCAAGCCCTAATATAGCTGAAAATATTTTCTTTGAGTTCGTTGTGATTTGGAATAACTTAACTGAATAACTGGTTTCCCTTTTCTTGACCATACACCAATTCTATGTTCACCTTCAAGACGCGATCTACCAGTGTTGTTCTAATATGGTGAGTGATCTGCCAATGGTGTTCTGATGTGGTGAGTAATCTGGCAATGTTGTTCCAATATGGTATACATAGAAGCAAGTTTTCATTTTAGTGTTTGAGTTAAACCCAAATGAAAACTGCTATACGTTAGAAATCATTCGCGGATTTAGGTGGTAGTGTGTGGATCGTTGAGACTGAATGATGCCTAGTCGAGATCAGCTTAGCTCAATTATGGGAATAATGCTTCGTGACAGTGAATGATACCCAATGAAGCGTATGATGAGTGATGACGTGGATTGACGGGTAATGACGGTGGTTGATGCCTACTAATGAGCAGTTAAATGTCGTGACGATGGGTGATGCCTAGAAACGGGCAACAATGCCAGATGATAGCCCGCATGTTGGTCCTTACATCCATGAGATGCTACCTCAAAAATAGCACGTTCCCAAATTCTATGGACACCCTTTTGTTCGACACCCCCCCCACTCCCCCTGTGAAAAAACTCTGCATACACCTGCGCAATCGCAAACTGCCCTCAAGCCTGTCATCATCAAAGGATCGTAAAAACTTGTTTCTCTGTTTCAGCGTGCCGGCTGTTTTACAAGCGAAATGCTGCTTCCAAATTATTATTTTCTCCTTTGCCATGTGCGAGTTTTTGTACCACCTCCCTGTGAAAACTCTGCTTATAACTGCGTAATCGCAAACTACCCTCCTGTGGGAAGAAGTGTAGCGGCTTCACTTAATATTTTGTGAAAGAAATTATCATGACCCTGGTTTCTAGGCTTACCCCCCTGTATTACCATCATAAATAGACAAGGACCCTACCGAACATTTGTCATAATTGTTTTTCCCTTAACAGCAGATGGTTAATGTTTGTCTAGCACTGAAGTCACTTGAAATACCTTTCACGTAGAACGTTCCTAACGTTTTCAAGTTCTCTTTTATTCCTTTTTGATGAAGCGAAGGAAAAATGTAAAAACAAAGGTGAAACAGTCCTTTTACCACAGCTGGAACTAAAACAACGCCTAGTCGGGGAAAGTTCTTTAGCGATAAGTTGACGCGTTAACTGGGCATCGCGGAGTACAAGAAATGAACTCACTCGAAAATTGGGTCACACTCTTTTCACAATCTTGCGCTCACACTGTGAGAGAGCACAAGGAGTCCTTCACGAATGATTTCGATGTGTTTTGCAAAAGACGCAAGGAAAATGGGTTTTATATCGATGAACTGAACTTTCCGTCCCTTGGGAAGACCTAAAGGATCTCAGAGAGCGTTTCCGGTTCTCAGCTTACATATTTCCCGTTCGCTTTTTTCGTAATCATCTCGTAAAATGTTCCTATCCGGTTTGCATTTAAGTCAAGGTTATAAAGAAGCTTCGGTGAACAAAAACAGGGGTTGACCGCGGACGGTCTCTATAGTTACCACCAACCGTGGCAGTTGACGGCGCCGGCGCGTCTTCGCGCCTAAGGATTTTTTGAAGTCGGATTAACCCCTCACGCCCTCACATCAGTATAAATTTTCTTCATACTGTTCTCTATACATTTCCTACAGGGCTAGCAAGGAGAATTTGTCTAACAATCAAGAGCTTCTTTAGTCGGTGATCATTTTCTTTATTCTCGTGACCTTAAATGTTGAATTCGGGGATACAGTGTAGGGAGAAATTAGATACCAGTCACTATTAGGGTGAAGGGGTTGTAGCCAGTGTTCTTCCGCTAAATGAGACGTGACTAAGAATCTTTTTTTTTCAGCAGTGGAGGAAGTTCTCAGCGTAACTAGGAGACTGAACAGACGACTACAACTCATAGTTGAAGGAATTGAAATGATTTAATCACAGCAAAGGAAACTGACGTCTTCATGAGACTTTAGAAGCCTAACCAGTCCTTTCTCAGATTTCAATTTTAGTTTAATGGAATTAAAGCCTTTTAATTTTGTTTGACCAGCTTGCATATTTTTAAAATCTTCGAAGCAGTTTACTCTCTTTGTTTTCTATTTAAAGAGTCTCGGCTATAAATAATATTTAAAAAAGTTAAAAACAAAACAAAACAAAACAATGTTAATTCACTGGCAATGAATTTATGTTGCTAACATTGCACTCTTTCGGGTTAACTTAAATGAAAAATTCTAACATCTTTTAATTTTCAGAGTAATCTCATCGTTGCTAGGCTGAGAGAAATTTAAGATTTACCAAGTGTCCGCGGATTCCTGATATCTATTCTTGCGGTTTTAATGGACGCACCCTGTCATTCAAAGGCTGTATTTTTACAGTATCTCATTTTGGGAATCTATACATTTAAAAAGAACAAATAACATTAATAAAGAACTTCATTTTTGTTTCAATATTCATCAAATTCATTTCAAGGACTGCAAAAGGAGATTTTGACTCTTCCCCGGATAACCACACCAAAATCCAGCCTACGTCTTTCCTCTCATCAACAGTGATTAAGAGAAAACTTCAAAGAGCCTTTTGTTGGCCGATTGACATAGCTGCGTTTCGTGCTTCCGTGCCAGATGCTGTAAATCGTTTTTCACCAAACAGAAGCGATGTTGATTCGCACTTGAATTAATATTCTATTAAACATCCATTTTCTTTGTCATGTAAGACAATAACTCGTATTTTTAGCAAAATTCCGTAGGAAGAGAGATTTATTCCCTCTCAGTGAAATTTGACCCTTACATCATCACGCGAACAAAATCGAAAATAAATACAAGTCACGTGATGAATTGTTCATAACAAAAGTCCCGGCTCTAGTCAGATAACCTCTGGCCAAACAAATAGTTTGAGTTTGAGTTGGAGACATCGTGAGAGCGTTCGTGATGTAATATGCTAAACCACCTATTCTGAGGATGAACTGAGAGTCACTAAACACTGAGGCCTATTTATGTTAGCTTTTAGTTGAGTAACGAAGATTTTCAGGTCAACAGTAGCGAGCGATTTGTGAAACATAGCAACATGAACATGCAAGCTAGACATTCGAGGAAAGACAGCGATGACTTATCAAAGCTCCTCGTTGGGCATGATGACGCGAATCTAGAATTTGGTGGAGGCCAATCCCAGATGGACCCTTCTTTAACAGAGCCGTCCTTGTCTTATCGTCAACCGAAGGCTTCATTCACGTCGTTTCGAGCGTTCCTCTCTCGTTGTAACAGTAAAACTTACTGTATTGACAATTTTTTACTCCGGGTTACGAGGGTCTATGTTCATCCAGCTGTTTCTTCGTTGGTTTTGTTCTTCGCAATTTTAATTCCCGTCGTTTTGGCGCTCGTTGTGGTTATTCCTGATTGCAATAACGGTGATTGTTTGGTTATAGACAAATCTATAGAGTCATTTGAAATCCCGGGACATATAAGTTCTGAACGAAATGACATGGTTGAGGTTGCTGGAAGCCATTCCCATACGCAGAAGAAGCTTCCTAATTTGAGACGTAAAAGATTTGCGAGGGCTCTAGACGAAAAACCGACAGAAAAGACTTCTTATCAAACAAAACCGAGATGGAGGTTGGAGTTAGTCTATCTTGCCATAGGGGACGACGACCTGAACATGTTCACTAAAGAAAGACTCGAAACCGTCCATGCAATAGACCAGAGTCTTATGTCGCAGCAGGGATTCAACGACTACTGCTGGAAATGGAAAGAAGCAAGAGCTGACCCTTTTCTAGATGATCACTGTGTCCCTCCAATTTCTCTTATAAATTTCTTTTATCCCTCGCGATCTGAGTTTCTCAAAAAAGAAATATTCGACGGACAGGGAAGGAACGAAGATGGTACTGTAATCAAGAACCTTACAGAAACCAGCATTCAGAACACCTTAAAGCTTCTGCTTACAAAAACATTTACGTATTGGTTTGTCGACGACTCTTTTTCGAAGGATAACTTGAAGAGTCGATTCTTACGAGCAGAAATGAAATTTGGTTCTCCTCTGAAGCCGGATGGCACCAACCGTAAAGAAAGAGATCGGTACGAGAATTTTTTGAAGAGCTACATTGAAGCAATGAAAAAGATGTCAACAGAGTAAGTACAACTATTATGTAATTCATATTTCTACGGCATAGCGATTTTTGTCAGTTTTGCGTGGATCGATCTAGAAATTCCTTTTTTCCTTAGTTACAATCTAAAGCTCTTTGAAGCATGATACAATTGCTATATTGACATTGCTTGAAGTGATCGGCACGTAAAGTAGGTTAATTCGGTTGGTTATTCAGTTGGCGGTTTATTATTTAGATCGCGAGTTTTGTAAACCCTTATGACGCTTTCTGGTTAGAGAATTAAGGTTCTATTCTCAAAAACATCTTCAGCCTAAAGCTCTCAAACTCTCAAATTTCCTTATTCTACAATATCGTGAAAATGCTTTATCATTTTTGATTGTTCAAGCGTGGAAAAATATACCATTTCGTTTGCGAGCAATATTTTTCAGAACTCTTTTGTACAGCAAGCTCGATCCAACACTTGCAGCTGCACAGGTGAAAACTCAGACGCGAATTCCCATCATATCGACTAATTTGGATGCAAATTTCCTCTCTTCCTTGTTTGAGTTTTTTCATTAAAATATCCAGCATTAGGAGTAAAATTGAACAATCGTACTCTAATCTGGTGTTTAGTCGATATACAAATTGCTGTCAACAATAGCAAACAATGTATAAAAACAAATGGTCACGAGTTTCAATTCTTAGAGATGAGAGTCACAGCCTAGCACCTTTTTAGTCTGCTACAATCTATTCTGGAAGGTTTGTAAGCATTAGTTGTTGATTTTCAACACAGAGGGTGCCTTAGGGAAGATGCTATTGTTAGGACTGGACCTCTGGCCAGTATTGTAGTATTGTAGAAAATCTTATTGGATGATGACACAGAGCAATTAGCATTCAAAAGCAACAAGGAAAGTTTTTGCACAAAATTCAGAATATTAAATGGCAGAGGTGATGCAGGGAGGCTGGCCTTGTTGTTCAAAAGATTTGCACCTCTGAACACAGAAACCACTTGCTGTATGTTAATATATGTTTTCACTTACAATGGCATCACTTTGTATTGCTTGGAATTACCTCCTTTGCTTCAAATGCATTATTTTGCAAACAATTGGTGAATGAAGACAATACCAAATTATCTCAACTAATTCACAAGAATATTTGTCTAGGTAATCACAAGATTTCGAGTGCAATTTGGAATAAATAAGCACAAGTAAATTTTAGCAAAGACCAACAAAATTGCATGAGCCCATAGAGTGAGTGCAATTTGTGGTCTTTGAAAAAAATTAGCAAGTGCTTATTTATTCCAAATTGCACAAGCAAAAATCATGTGATTATGTATTAATAGTATAAATGAAAAAATATGAGATAGCACATCATAATTATACAGAAGCAAAGCAGTGCAGCAAGTGCAAAAATAACTAAATTCAAACCCTGCAAGTGACATTGTGCATTCGGTCAAAACAACTGCGTACGATCAAAACAAAAAAAATACATAAATGATATTTTCACATCTTTAGACACAAAAAATTTCATAGTCTGGCTGAACAGTTCAAGGAATTGTTCAGTCTGGTTTGTTACATCTTTGCACTGAATTAACCCTCTTCTGCACTGAATTACCTGAAAACTGCATTTATCTTAACCAATCAGAACTGAGTAATTTTTTTCTTGTATCTTATTAATTTCATAACAGGTGGAATGGAGGGTTACTGATTAGATCTTGGCTTTAGAGTTGACCATATCAACCCTCTCACTTCCTAGATCTCATTAGTAACTCTCCTTATTGTCTACCTCATGATTCTTTTTGTGTTTAATTCAGAAAATTAAATTGGTATTGGATCAACTAATGATCCTCTAATCGATATTTTTCATTATTCTTATCATTTGTCTGCTTGATTTTGTATTGATATTGTAAGGAGAAATTTTGTCTTGAACACTCATGAAAGTTAAAATGTTAACTATATGACACGGTGATGTACCATATCTTTAGAATATGCTTAAGAAAACTCAGGGAAGAAAAATAATCCAGAAACTTTTCAATATTTGTCTTTGCCTTTAAAAAGCGTAAAGAGAAAGTATGAATGAAAATTTTCTTTTCAAAGAAATTCAAATAACTAGTTTTCCAAGGAAGATTTTAAGCAGCAAAAATCACAAAACTTTGTAGAGCATACCTCACCTCTTAGAGTTACATTATCTTTGTTTTTGTCAACAGCAAAGTGAGATTGCTCTATGGTGGAACAGATGTCTTTGACTATGAAGTGAATAAGACACTATGGGCAGACATCAAGTTAGCAGTGTTCACCATTGCTTTTGTTGGAATTTTTGTGCTCATTTTCACGCGACTTTCCCTCTTTTTAACTTTTTTCGGAATTATCAGTATTGTAACTCCTCTTTTCGTGGCTTATTTCTTTTTCCGTCATGTGTTTCAAGTCCCAAGTCTTGGCATTCTTAGTGGCATTTCAGCATTCATCATTATCGGTATTGGAGTGGATGATGTCTTTGTCTTTGTCAATACTTTCTGTCAAGCACACAGTGCAAGAAGTTTGGAATCACGCATGCTGCATACCATATGTACAGCAGGCAAAGCAACCTTCTTCACATCATTTACCACAGCAATGGCTTTTTTCGCCAACTGCTTTTCCAAGGTGGGTTAGAGTTACAGAGAGGGTGAAGGTCTTATTAGCACAGGGGTATCAAAAAGAGCAGGTTACCTGTAGTCTACCCTCACCTGTAAGACCTCTTTCCACAGTCAGTGCTTAGCCTGGGAGCAGGCTGTTGTGATTGGGTTTTCTATTATGTAGAGCCATTTATGGAAAAAGTTATTGAAACCACTGTTTGCAGATACCCTCAGGAACCTTAAAAGGATTTGTTTGCTTAGTCACTGGCAACCAGTGGTGCAATTTTTTTCATATACGCATTATGGTTTTTTTTTCTTTTTTCTGGCAATGGTTGAGGGAAACTGAAAACAAGGCAGTGTTATTTAGGTTCTCTAAAATTCTAAAGAATGATTAGCATGCTCTATGAGATATGTATTACCGTAAAAATTCACAGATAAGCTGTACCTGCAGATAAGCCGCACCTGCAGATAAGCTGCACCTGCAGATAAGCCACACCCGCAGATAAGCTGCACCCTGAATTTAGCAGCTCAAATTTTGGAAAAAAAAGTTTTTTGAAAGAAATCAAAAGTAATCCAAAGTCGAGTCTTGAGGAGTCTTCTTCATTCACTGTTCATCGGACATAAACTCACTATTAACATTGCAATGGAAAATACTTCAAAGTCTTACCCACAATTTTATTACTTTAATGTGAATATTGTTTCTACCAACTTTGACATATGATTGATCTTTTTCTGGTAATTGTTGATAGGAATTTCTTCATTCAACACAGTTTTTTTCATAGATTTTTGCATTACAACAAGAATGTGAGCGGAACATTTGAAGCTTAGTAACCAGGCATTAGATCCGATGTGAAAATGGAAATGTTCCCACAGATAAGCTGCACCCTCAATTTTTAGCAATGATTTTTGGAGAAAAAGTGCAGCTTATCTGGAGGTTTTTACAGTACTCCCAACTTTAGGAATCCCACTTTTCACAGTTTATAAAAATACAAATTATCAATATGATTAAGTGAAACAAACTATTATATTTTACAAAAGACATATTTCAAATCAGACACAACTGTCAGCCTTAAGTCAACATTTTTTGGTTGCACAATTTGCAACCAATATTCCACTTAAGTTTAATTTTATTCTGGCACTCTGCCAGAGGCTGTGAGGATACCAGCACAATCACATCAAAAGTTGCCCATTTTCACAAAGAGAGCTGCCTTAACTTGTTCCAAAATACTAACAGTTGCTTTATGTGTCAAACAGATGCCAGCCATCCGTGATTTTGGCTTGTTTATGGGGCTGATAGTGGGCAGCTGCTGGTTTACAGTGTTTTTTACCATTCCCCCAGCTCTCACCCTTTGGCATCGTTACATTTCAAAATGGGAAGTATTGATATATAAAATGATTTTCGGGAAGATGAATTGTGCCTTGGTGAGTGGACGTTCTGATTTGCCAGGTAAGTATTTAGTAATAACTTATGGTTATTCTCAGTGCCTCTTGATGTATGGGGCTCATTCTTTTGAAAGATGTGGTAACTTATCAGGTCCATAGAGCAGGATTTTGTTTGCTGTGTTTCTTTCATAATCAAGATTTAGACAGATTTGAAATACAAACAAAAATATCAGGATGAAAAAACAGGTTGGAGTAATGTTGGTGCAAAGACTTTTGAAAAATTCAGTAGAACTATATTTTTTTAACATTATATCAGGCTCATAAAGTTACAGGAAGTTATGAGAAACAGCCCTTGATTAGTGAATTTCTTCAGAAATTTAATCTGCTAAGTACTTCCTTGTCAGGAGAATCAGCTCCTGATCAGTCAGAAATAGCAATTCAGTGGTATAACCTTCTGAACCTGCTGAAAATTTGTTGGTGCAAAGACTTTTGAAGAATTATATAACATTTTAACATTAGATCAGGCTTGTAAAGTTACAGGGAGTTATGAGAAACAGCCCTTGATTAGTGAATTTCTTCAGGAATTTAAGCAGCTAAGTACTTCCTTGTCAAGAGAATCAGCTCTTGATCAGTCAGAAATAGCAATTCAGTGGTATAACCTTTTGAGCCTGCTGAAAATTCCCTGGCTGAAGTTTTTTTCTTTACCTAAAACAAAATTTTTATAACTGACTTATAAGGAAATATGCAGTATGTAGAGGAGAGAATCAACCATTATATTGTGGGAGTTTAAGGGTTAATGATGACATCTATTTGCAGGTGACATTCAGCAGTTTCTGTCGGGAAATGAGAGGAGTTATTCTCAGCAAGCTTCATCATCATCAGCATCGCAAGTGATGGAACTTGCTGATAGATCACTCTCTCAGGAGGACGACACCTCGCTGATCAACTTAGACAGTAGTTCTCCTAACTCACAAAGCCCATCTCCTAGTTCAAGTGACACTGACTTGACCATGTTTGATGATCCCAATGGTACGTTTGATCAACAAGCACCCCTAGTGCACAGGAGGTCTTTCCAATCAAGACAAGGGCTGCCTAATCAAAGTCACAGTAGCAGTTGCTGTCGTTGCCGATGTGGGCTACAGTCATTTCTGTATTACTGGCTTGCTGTTCCAATACAAAAGTGCCGTTATATTGTTCTAGTTCTTTTTATTTTAATCCTGGGTGTGTCCATTGGTTTTGACTCACAAATCCGACCGTCTACCAAGCCACCAGCGTTCTTCAAGGAAAGCACCAATTTGCAACAACTTATAGAGCTGAAGTATAATATGAGCAGTGAATCATTAGACACAAATGACATTGCTGCCGATCAGCTTGTGAATGAATTTCAACGGTCAAACGACATCGATAACCCTACACCAACCACAAAAAAGCTCATGATGACAACTCAGAGTAATTCACCAATATCTGAATCAACCCCAGCACTTAAGACTCCAGACACTTCAGGAGACAAAAAAAAGGGAGATGGTATAGTCAAGCCTCCAAATTCCAAGACAACTCCTATACCAAAAGGGAAGATGTTGAAACCAACAACAGCAAGTTTGCAGAAAAAAACTAGCTCTAGGTGAGTCAGTGTGTTGGCTTGAGGTGAATTACTTCTGTAAGATGTAGTTTCCCTCCTAGCATTCACTTGACTTTTATCCATTTCAACACTTAGAGTGACTAGCATTTAATTTCTCTTTACAATACAACCCCAGAATTTCACATCAATTTCTTGAGAATAAAGGAAATGATCACCAACTAAAGAAACTCTTAAACTCTTGAGAAACTCTTGTTTGACAAATTCTCCTTGTCAACACCTTAGGAAGTGTACAGAAAACAGTTTGGAGAATATGAAAGCTGATCTTAGGGTGGAAAAGGTTAAATCAAGAAGATCCCTATGCTTAGGCCATCTTGCAATTTTTTCTCTGAGCTGGGCATCAGTTGTAGTATTTTAACTTTTAGTTGTTGTAGAGTGTTCCTGCATCTGGTTCTGTTGGTTTAAGTTTGTCCATTGATATATATAAAATTGCTTATTGCAGCTCTCCAACCAAAAAACCTACAGTTCGTAGTACAAAAAAACCAAGTGAGTGTTAATTTATCCTTTGTTTGTTCAGTGAGGATTATCCAGAAAAAATTGACAGTTATATTTTTCAGCCTTTCAACATGTTTCAACTTTGTTGGTAATGTTTGACTTTTTGTTATGTACCAATCAGGGACAGAAAGGAAGTTTACACCAACACAAAAGCCAAACAAAGGTAGGAATTTATTTACTACTTTTTATGTTGCTTGCATGGTTAATATTTGAATTGAGTCTTGTAAATTGTTCGTCCTTTGTCTGTTGTTAAATTTGTTTGTTGTCAATATTTTTCAGACAAACCCCTGACCAAAAAGACAGAGTCAAATGACGGTATGGATTCTTGCTTTTGACTTCTTTGATGTTAAATTTATTCAAAAATTGTTTGGAGTATTGATTAATCAAGCAGGCAAATAAAATTGATGTCATATTTTTCAAACACATCAGGTGGTTCTGGGAATGACATTCATTCACCAACTGCTATTGGCACACCAATCACACCCCCACTGTGTCCTGGAGGGTGCAAACCAGTCCCGAAACCCATTGTGGCTTCATCAGCGGTCATTTTTGTGATCCTTGGCTTGAGTAAGATTGATCGTAGCATGATCAGGCGAGAGCATGTTATTGAAAAGAAGGTATGGACATACTGATGCTCCACCTGAAAAGTTGTCAGTAATAAAAAGTGCATTTAGTTTAAAATTTATCTTTCCATGATGTTGAATGAAAGGCATAATTTTTATTGAACAATTTTGGACAGATGATTTTCTGTAAATTTGAGTATGTGTATTTTTGGACATTACCGGTAATTATTTAGTTATAGCCACTTCAGGGACTGAAATGTTTGTTGCTAAGCCCCTATCTTAAAGGCAAAAGTATTTATTATTTACTAGGTTAGTGACAATTTCTACAAAGCTTTTAGATATTGAATTACAGACAAGACTGGTAACTTTTTGGTTCAATTGTCCCAAGTGCTCCAAGAAGGTCTCACAAACCTTTGAGCAAATTCTAATTGTGGAATAACTTTTCCCTGTTAAATTATGCATTCAGTCATTCAGTCATTCATGTCAAACCAGGGGCCAGGTTTGGATGGCTTGTGGCTCTTACTGACAGCTCTGCTTTATACCCCAATGAATTCTCCAGCAAATTTTCATACAGACATGAATGTTTTATCATTTACTTTATTCTGTTACTAAAACATTTCATCATGAAAACTCTAACAGTGTAGAGTTTATTATGACAAATCAAATTAATGCAGAGACATATTTCATTTTTTCTTGAAAATAATGCATAAATATTCATTTTCTCTTGTAGGGGGAAGTTATTCCAGACTTTAGTTTCACAAAGTTGGTTTCAGAAAGATCCAAATTTGTCAGCGCTGCGTGCCGCCTGTGCAAAATGATAAGCAACAATCATGAGCTTGTTAGAGAAGGAGGAGCAGATTGCTTCCCCAGCTGGATGTGGGATTTCTTCCTGGATGATATCAGCATTAATGGTCATTCATCTGTTTTTTACAAAGACTGTTTTAACTTAACTAAACCAACTTTTAGCTCAGGGTCTTCTCAGGCAAAGATGTACTATATGGATATTAAGAATCCTTATGGAAATAAGACATACTGGATGAAAATGGCTTTTGAATCGGTAAGTTGTGATGTGAGTTAAAAGAGGATTGAAGGTCAGAAGGGCCAACCTTGAAAAACTTATCCCAGTTTTAATGGCATGAAGCAATGGAAGAGTATTGTAAACTCCCCTTGAAAGGTAGGCTAGTCTGTAAAGGGGTAACCCCACCACATTTTGTAAGGCCTTCTTGGTTTAATTCCTGGCCCACGGAACCCCAAGTCCATGGGTAGAATCTTGAAGCCTGGTGAGTGCTTCTTCTTAAGGCTTCAAGTACTCAAACCAAAATTATATGAAAAGCTGATGGAATCCTAAGCACATTATGATTGAGGACAGACGCACAGATGATGTCACCATTGACATTTAAAGAACAAACAAGGCTCCCTTTTTGTTCTTTTGTGCATTGATTATGTTGAAGTTTACAAAGTGTTTTGTGATCAGTTTTGCATTTGATTTAGACAGGTAATGGTAATGTCTGTAGGAGTAGCCTGTTGGATCCTGAAGGGGTCTGGGGGAGTGTGCTAGCTGCCTCTTATCTCATCCCCAGATCCTTCAGTGTAACTGTAACTGAAAATACAACCACTTGGCTGTGGAAGGTCTGGGTACAAGACTAAGCTACTGTCTCTATCTGTTGTCATTATTTTGTTTTCAGTCCTGCAGACTGCAATCATGGTGGCCGTGTTGAGAGTGTCTGTTTAGTTACCTTCCTAATTTCAAAAAATGTTATTATTTTCTAATGGCTGCATTTCATTTTTTCTTCAGAAAATTTTCAAAGGCAAGTCATCGCATGAAAAAGTTGAAGATTTTGAGAAATGGGACAGCTTTTTGAAAGACATTATCAGTTCTCCATCATTTCCTGAGGGATTCAAGTCAATTTTCCAAACAAATCAAGAATGGGTGAATGTGTTCATTGAAGTTGTGGCTGTCAACAGTGCAATCTATGGCACAGTGTTTTCACTTATGTTATGTGTTTTCTCTGTGGCTGTGTTCACAGCCAACGCTTGTTTGACCTTTATTGTAATGGTCACCATAGTAGGTATGTATGTCATCAACTTGTTGGTATCAAATTTGGTCTTTGATTTACATCACAGGCAATGATTTGGGGCTGTGTGTGAGTTTTTGGGTCGGAATTAGTTCACCCAACCTCAGTCCCAAACTCTAAAATTCAGTCCTTCACATTGCCTTCCACACAGTTTTAAGCATACATACATTCATTTTGAACTTACAGATGTATTGTACTCCTCCCAAAGGGGCTTTTTAGATTAAAGGTACCATATTGTTCAGTTAGAATATACATACACACTTCTAGATGTCAAATAAGAAATTAAATTCTCTCTAAAAAGTTGAAATCAATTTTCTCTTTAAAAGCAGTAATTGAAGTCTGTCAGTGCATGATTTGACTTGAGTGATAGCTGGATGGAATTTCAAAGTCCTAAAATAGAAGAGTTGTTTGCTTGTGGTAGTTCTGTACAGGGAAGTCTGAAGGATCTCACACAAAGACTTCTTTGATGGCTTTCTTTCTGACAGGTGTCCTGACCACAGTTGTGGGAATTTTTTACCTGCTTTCATGGCATCTTGGAGCAGTGGAAGCAATTTCTTTATCTATTTTGGTTGGCACATCGGTTGATTATTGCGTTCATTTGGTAGAGGGTTACATTATGGCTGGAAACTGTATACCACAGAATCTCAGCTCTTCTAAGGTTTGTGTGAAGTAAACAGAGATTAAAGAAAAATGCTCTTTGTCTTCTCACAAGTGTGGGAGAAAGAAAAAAATATGAGTCCCCATGAGGAATGGAACCTCAGACCTTGGATTTCCCACTCTGATGCTCTACCACTGAGCCACAGAGACTCCACAGTGAGAGAGGTCTATTACAAAGTTCATATGACACACATCCTGCATACTGCTAGGATCAGCAATGTCGATAGTGTCATGTTTATAAATAGAATAGAGAGAGATGGCAAACAGACGTTATTGAAACTTTTTATGTCCAAGATCTTGTAGAGATGTTGCGAACTAATGGTTGGTGCACTGGACTTTGGGTCCAGAAGTCCTGGCTGGCTTACTTGGTAGTATTCTTGGCCGAAGTACTGTGATAGGACTTTTTTTTTATTTTGAGTATCTCTGGCCTGTGTTCATGTTTTGGATGTTTAAATTGTTTTTGGAGAATTTATTCAAGGATATGTTCTTGACTTATTATGAGCCTTTGTTAGTGGGTGTTTTTAACAGTATTTTCTATTCTCTCATGACAGGAAATACGTGGCTGGAGAACACGAGCTGCTGTGTCGCATATTGGCACTGCCATCCTCAGCTCTGCCATTACAACAGTGGTGGCATCAATACCTCTGTGCATGACAGTGATTCAGCTCTTTGCCAAGTTTGGCCAGATTTTAGCCATCAACACTGCTGTATCAATTTTCTTTACCCTCACAATATGTGTAGCTTTGTTGTGTATTATGGCTCCGGTGAAATTCCGAGCCTCCCTCATAACTTCAGCTAAAGCTCTTGTTGTAGTAGTTGTCGTATGTGGTCTTGGTACCCTGGTGTTGTACTCAGTTACGTTGAAGGTCAACATCCCTGGGCCATCAGGAGAACCTATACACTTCTGACAACATCCTCAAAAATTAACAAACAGTGTCTGAGCCTCTTAGCTTGTAAACATAGTCTAGTTCAGTTAAGTGCTAATAGAATTGGGTTTTAAAATAGGTATGATTAAAAGGCTTGTAGAACTGAATTAGTCATTTTTGCAATTTTGCAAATTAAAAGGAACTTGTTATAGACATGCAGCTAATTTTGAAAGATGATGTTTTTGTGCCTATTAGATGCAATTTTACTGTTGTGTTAAACTAAATTAAAAATGTTATTACTTTGTACAGAAAAAAACAGTGGTCTGGATTTTTTTCAAAAACATAACAATACAAAACTGCAAAATAGAAATTCTCTAATATTAAGCTATTTTTTATCTAATTGAGCACCTACAAAAAGAGACAAACTTTTTAGGCATTCTGGCAAAGAGCTCTCAATAAGTAAGAACATGTGTAGAATTGTACTGAATTAAAGCAGCACTTTGAAAATTATTTGTAAAACCACTTGTGCACATACAGTTGGACTCCAGGCTATTTTGTGTAATGGGAAATCTTTCCTAAAGGAAGGGTTTTGTTTCACAGACATTTGGCTCTGAAATTCTTATGTTCTAATATGAATTGCACAAAGCAAGTTGCGTCCAGAGCTATTGTAAAGATTTAGTGATAGGTAAGTTTTGTAAGTAATTAAGTATTGTTACTTGTTTTTAAAGTAAGGGAACTGTGTTGTGTTGTTAAATGTATGAGGTATCTTTCAAATGTAAATTAAGTTAAAAAATGATTTAAGGATTAAAATTTAATTATAATGATATATTAAGGGTTAGAAATTTTATGTGCAACATCATACCTAATTCTGAATAACTCTTGGAGTTGGTGATTGCTTGAAAGAAATGCAGATGGATTTGGTTAATGTACAAGGTGTTTTTTTCCTTTTTGCTTTTTGTTCCTTGAATGCATCTAAGTTAAGCTTAAAAGTCTACTAATGTCTTCAAACTTAAACGCATGACTTCTTCCCTGTACTTCCATGCTTATACAATCTGTAAATAGTATTGTGTTAGTTAGAATCATTTTACCTTCAATTTTGTGTCAATTATGTGTCAATTTTGTACTGGCCTCCATTTAAAGTTTTCATAATTTTTTTTACATTGACCAGCATTTGGTACTCACTCAGTGTCAAGATTGTAACACTTAGCTGTTGATTTGTTATGGTAGCTCTGACTGAGTGGAGTACAATTCAGGTAATAATTGGGCAAGTGATATCAAATTTGGCCAGCTTCATAGTGTGGGGTTGATTTGAAATTACAAGCACAATTATTTCTAAATTGTGTGACACAAAGTGCGATTAGTGATTAATTGTGTCAATGACAAAATGTGAGAAACTTGGTAATGAAAAATTTAATCTAATGCCAAAAATGCTCATCAGAATCAGAGGAATACATATTCGAATGGTAGTCATTGGATCATTTTTGTTTTGTTCATGTGTGTTTTCAATGTGAATCTGTCAACCTGTTTACTTTTGAAGTTTTCCTCATTTGATGGGCTAGCCTTGGCTAGGTTATGTATTTTTTTTTTAATGGTTAATGGCTGAAAGTGCATAATTTTCTTTGACTCAGCCTGTCTAACTACAAGTGTTTGTAATTAGACAGGTGAAATTTGACTTGAAACAGCCTATTAGGTCATAAATAAAGGCTGTTAAGAACCACTCACATTCAAGCATTTTGTTTTTGACACAACTTGATAATTTGGTTTAAAACTGTATGGGAAGTGTCCCCACTGTCAGTGGTACCAATTTTAGATTCCCTGTGGTTATCAAGTTAAGAATATTTAAATGCAAGAATCTGTGCAAACTTATAGTTTCCAGTTATGATTATCATGGTAACCTTTCTTTTTTCTCTTTTTTAATTGAAAAACAATGTCATGTGGAAAGACATCAAAGTACAACTCCACTGTTTGGACTGTTAGAATTAGTCTGTCATTTTATATATTTTTTTTAAATGCTAAGGATTTCTCAGCAAGCATTACTCAAATTAAAAGTGCATATACAGCTCAGCTTTACTGTAAAGTTGTTTTTAAGGTAGTCTGAATCTAAAACTGGCACAAGTAGTTTCCAGAACTTGTCCTTCCTTATATTAAGGACCCTACAATAAGGCCATGCCCTCTGTAATGAGCCCCTTTCTGACAAGCCCCACTTTTTAAAATGCACTACCCTTTAGTTATTCCATTTCTCTAGTAAGCCCCCTTCTTAAAATGTCTTCCTGTCTTATTCAATCTTCTCCTTTCTTCTCTCTGGTTCAATGTCCATTAACTGTCATGACTATTTCATTTGCACCACAAGAGGATGTACAACACAACTTTGACCCAAATGATTTTAAAATTAAGGCTGAGCAAAGACAAAACTATGTAGCATATTCTTCCCATGAGCTGTGATTACATGGAACAAACTTGATAAGAACCTCTAGAACTGCCAATCTCACCAAATTTTTATTAATTACAAAGGCCCTTTATCATCATATTTACCACCTTGATCTAGCTCATTGAGACTAAAATTTTTTTTTCCATTTGCCCATTTACTCACAATTTTTATTATTTTTGCATGGTTCCTATTATAATGTAAGAAGGCAGTTTTCCATTAGGACCTTTTCCTGTTACTGCCCCCTGTCACAAACCTTTTTTTTAACTAATAGAGAAGTGATCCTTGCAGTTTTGAATACTACTTAACTGGTAGTGAAAATAAGGCCTTAAAAAAAATTTAGGCCTGTGCAGGATTTGAACCCATGACCTCTGTGATACTGGTGCAGTACTCTACCAACTGAGCTAACAAGCCAACAGGGAACTGATCATTATGTTGGTTACAAATAAACCCACCAAGTGGTGAATTCATGACCGTAAATATACAAGTATCATATATGTGAACTGCGGTTGAAGAAACAAAAATAGAAGTAATCCTCGCAGTTATGAATACTACTCAACTACTAGTGAAATTAAGGCCTGAAAAAAATTCAGGTCCCTATGAGATTTGAACGCATGACCTCTGCGATACCAATACTACTGTATTCTTTTTTATTATTATTATTATTTGTACATTTTTGGGACAAATAATTGATAAACCCCAATCAAAAGCATCGCTACTTCACCTAAATGGTTCACCAGTCCAGCGACAAGTTTCCCCTGCATTTTGTCAGTTTTCTCTGACAGTTTTTGGCTATTTAAAAAAAAACTGCTGCATTGGAAGAGGTACTGGGAGTCAGAGAAGTGCCTTGCCCAAAAACACAGCAAAATTACCCTGACTTCAGCTTGAACCACACCCTCAGATAGAGGATTTAGATAAACATACATAAACCATCTACTAACCGAGTTGAAGTTTCTACTGTGAGTTAAAGACTGAGCCTTTTCTGCTCAAATTTGACCTGCAGGCTTTGCACTTAGGCCTTGATTCCCAGCAAAAAATAAAAATAATAAAATTTTCTGTAACTTGTAGTACAGACCAACAAGTTAAGGGTAGTAAGATATTTATTTTATCTCTGGGTTTAAATGGAAGGGGAAAATTTCAATTAAAAAAAAAATTTTGAATGTAGTGTGCCTTTCAGTGAAATAGGGCCTGCTAAATTGACCAATCATGGTGCATGTACTAACTGAGAGATATAATAATGCACTACATGATTATTCAGTGACGATTTTTTTAAACTTGCCAACTAAAACAAAAGAGATTTAAATACAGATTTTTATTATTAAAATAAACCCAAACTGCATTCTCTCAAAATCTTCACGCAGACACAGAGCATTTTGTGTATTTATGAAAATGTCACAATTCTCTAACAACTCTGTCACATTAGACTTCATATTGAAGAAGTGCCTTAATGCAAGATTCACCTCTCATTCTCTTCTTTTCCAGCACTTGAGGCTTATTAGCACCCAATCATATATCATAGTTCAATGACAAGTCCATTCAAATTTTTTTCCTAAATGTATGCAACCCTTTCCTGAGCTTTGTTTTGTTGTCAGTAACTCAGTTGAAAAAACAATTATTTATTTTAAAAATATAATTATTTGAAAATTATTAGGGCCAGAACTAAATAAATATCACAGCATACATCTTTCAACCTGGTTTTCTAGGAGGGTTTTAAATGCAGAACCTATCACAAACACTAACTTTAGTAATTATAATAATCAATATTAATTTATTAATTTTCTGTTGATGGTAGTTATTTTTTAACTCACTTTCTGTATAAAACAAGAGCACCAACATCAAGATTTTGAAAAAAAAACATTTTTTTAAATGAAATACACCAAACACTAATTCTTCAAGAGGAGAAGTAGATTTATAACACCTGCTCCATCCAAACTAATGTCTACATATTTGTCGAAGATTTTAAGGAACCAGACTGTGATACAAAAAGCCCCCCCTCGCAGGTAAGGGCTCTATGAGTCACAAGTCACAAGCATATGGAAAAGGCAGCGCATTTTTCAGAGTGGACAGTGGTTTGCTTTCATAAATCAAAACTAATAATTAGGACTATTATCAAGATTTAGAAGAGTTTCCTTGCGCTGCCTCCTTAGCTGATTGTTCCATTGCCTCTGCCAGTTCTTTGTCCTCTATTTCAACCAACTGTTTATCCTCAGCATTCCTCACTTGTTCCCCTTCATCACTAAATGCCAGGCGATCAGTCAATGGCAATTCAGACTCAGCTAAGAAGGGAGTTTCTGTTCCAGTGGTTCCAATCCGCAGCACATTGTTTTTCAGGTCAATAGAGCACTGTAAGAAGAAGCACAGCTACAGTGAATAACATGACATTCACCTTCTTTGCCAAATACTGAGGACTGTGCAAGGTCTTGACCCTTTACACCCTAACATCAGTATGCATATTCTCTATACTGTTCTCTATACATTTTCTGAGGTGCTGACAAGGAGAAATTGATCCAAAAACAAGAGCTTCTTAAGTTGGTGCTCATTTCTTTTATTCTCTTTTCCTTCATGTTTGATTCAGGGGTCATACTGTGAGGAGAAATAAGATACTACTTACTCTTATAGGAAAAGTATACTTCAAAAACCAATTTATTTTTATTTCTCCCATTCAAAAAGTATTTGTTTGTATCTGACTGTACTTGTTTCTTATTTCATGATTTTCTTTTGACCCTTTCATCCTAGAGATCTCAAAGTAATTCTCCTTACTGTCTGCTAAACAATTCATATGATATGAGTTTGGAGAATTCGGTATTGGATCAACTAATCATCCCCTCACTAATATGTCTCTTTATTCTTATTACTTGTGTGTTTACTATCATATTGATATTGTAAGGAGAAATTCTTTCTTCCACTCATGGAAGTTAGAAGGTTAAAAATTAACCATAATTTTCTACTCTCTTATTACATTATCACAAGCCTACTTTAAACCCCTTAACTACCAAGTGATTAACATGTAACTTCTCCCTATAGTTTCCATACATTATCCAGCAAACAGATAATGAGAATACTCAAACTTATCAGGCAGAAGTTGTGAATCTTGATCTAACACCAAATTCTTTCAACTACTTTACAAGGAAATGAGAAGCTGCTAGATGGGAGAATTAACTGTTAGATCTTGGTAGTTTAAGGGTTGGGTTTCAGGGAGATAGAGGATACCATGAGTTGGGAAAAGATGCCTATTTAAACAGAGTTTAACTTTTTTTTACAACCAGAAATTTTTCATAGATTATTTGCACCCTGTAATATGATCACAAAATCTCACCTGATGTCTCTTAAGCATATCAAGCCCAAGCACTAAATCCATAGGTTGATCTTCCATGACAGAGAAGGAAGATGGCAAAAAGTCATTCCCTATCTGGATCTGAGCAACATGAACTCGACCGACAATTTTCTGTGTTCCTACACCTTTAGCAATCCCTGCCCACCGGTGATCTAGCAGCCGCATAATGTTACACCTTTCTGCACATGCCGAGCTCATGAAGGTCATTTGAGCTCCCGAATCAACAAAAGCTTTAACAGGGTGTCCATCCAGTTTACAGTTGATATATAGCATGACAACTTTACCAAATGATTCTGGTGAATATTCCATGGCTATTTCCATGTTTTGATTGACATTAGACATACGGATTTCCTCTGCAATTCGCTTTTGAGCGTCAATATCAAATGGATCTGCATTCATGGTGCGAATTCTTTGCATGTCTTTATCAGCTCTTTCTTGTCTTTGCCTTTGAAGCACTGCAGCAAATGCCTGTAAATTACCACTCAGCAATGCATCCGCAAGTTCTGGATTTCTCTCCTTAAGGAGTGATAGCTGATGGGGATCTGCCAGGAACATGTCCCTAATGTACTCAGGACTGTCTGTATCTACACGAGGTTGCTGTGGAGGTCCTGAGGTGGCTTGATTGTGAGCAGATTGTGGATGAGATGAACTGTTAGGTATTTGTATACTTCCCCAATCTATCCCACCAGCAGGGGCACTTCTTGTGTTCATACTTGGTTGTGCTGGCTGTCTTGGGGCTGATTGATTACCACCGGCAGATCGTGAACTGTTGGGTACTTGTACACTTCCCCAGTTCACTCTACCACCTGGAGCAGCTCCTAACCAAGAATATACAAAAAAGCATCTAGCTTATTGGTAACATATAGAGAAAATACAGTCAATCAGAACAAAGTCCAATTGACTTTTTTGCACAAGCAACGAGTGACAATTTTTTTTGTTATAGTTACTAGAAGGAACAATTTGGTCACCATAGACATCCGAATCATAAAATCTCTTAGCCGGCAGCTTAAAACAAAAGAGTGAAGAAACAATGACCATCAGTTCTGTGTGTAAGAGAGCAACTGAAAAAAATTACAAGGTTATCTCCTAGGGTGATTGGCATCAAATCAATCCATCAGCCATCAATTCTCCGTCAGCACCACAAGAAATGTAAAGAGAAAAGTGTGGGTCCTCTCGAAAAGTTTAATTAATTTTAAGATGTATCATGTTTAAACTGATCTAGAATTGTTTCCATTCACTTATTTATTGAGTTACAGGTGCAAGCCACTGACTGGGGCCACAAAAAAGACAAGCAGAAAAATGTTTACACACTTCTTAAAAGTAAAGAAATTTTGTTGGGGAAAATAATATCTTAACCCTTTCACTTCCAAGATCTCATTAGTTATTCTCCTCCCTGTCTCCCTCACAATTCCTATTACATAAGTATTAGATCAACTACTAATGACCCAACTGGTATTTTTCTTTTTTCTCATCACTTCTCTGCTTGACACTGTATCGACACTGTAGGGAGAAATTCTGTCTTGATGACTCATGGAAGGTTTCTTATTGAATTGATGATGTCATCGTTTTATCAATGTACATGGATCGATCGCATGAGGTAGTCACGAATAAAACTCCAGTTGTCATGATGACATATAGTAGATTTTTACACGGCTTTTCACGCCAGAATCTCTTGAAATATTGGAAGATTTCAGCTCTGACAGACATAATATTAATAATAACAGTCTTTATACTTGTCTTAATGGTGATGTAGTTTTTTCTCCTCTAAAGAAGACTTTGTCACACAATTGAAGTCACACGTGTTGTTGTAAATTATATTATCACGAAAAATTTTAAACCTTCAAATTGAAGATAAAACTTACCACGCGACTGAGCTGAGGGTTGTGCGGATTGTACAACGCGCTTTATCAATAGGACATCACCCTCCCGAATCCCATACGCATTTAAAGTCTTCTTTTCCTCAACAAGTGCTCGGCCGTTATGATAAATCACAATCTGGGACGACGACAATCCAATCTCGAATTCTAGAAGAGCTTTGAGATTCTCAAGTTCTAGATCAACACTGACGTCGAGATTAAAGATCTGATCGCCTTCTAAAGTAGCCGTAACTTTCATCTTGATATTGAAGGATGAAAAAGTGTTACCAGTAATATGCTACACCCAAATTACTTAAATACTAGATGCTGACAAGGCGCTAAATAATTATGATCGGAAACAAATCTCTTTTCCAGGCTCCAGAGAGGAAAAAAAAAAATCGATATGCAAGGGGTTGTGGGATTGGAGTGCGATGCGCGCTAAGTTGCTTGGGAACTGTAGGGGTTGCTGTCGGACTGTATTCACAATTCGTTATCTGTATTTTTTCGGCTCCAAAAGATGAGTTCTCAAGCGGAATCTTCCTTAGATAATAGGTAAGTATGTTTCCGGATTAATTCTTGGGTAAATTTTGTGATATTGAACAAAAATTTGTAGGTTGTTGCCCGACTTAATGTACAGGATTCAGGTCCTGTGTTTATTTGACGGTAATTAAGCGGTCGATTTTTCGTCTCTATGAATCGAATCTTTACCAGGAAAGATTTATTTTCGCTCCAAATCTATTGGAAATCTTCAATTCTGTTAGATTTTTAAAACTCGTTTTTTTCACAGTTTTCACATGTCAGGTTTGAATTATGTGACGTGGTTTTGTACTGTTTGATCGTATATTAGCTTCCCTTAGCAACTGTTTCTCGCTACATTAAACGCAGGGTGGCGTGCGGTTTTTCTTATTTGAAATTCTTTTTTTTCTTTGTTACCTGTCTTTGCATATTTCTCATGAATATCCGTGATATTCTTGTAAATCAAACGTTGCACCATTAAAATACAGTTTAAAACGTTTGTCTCAACAAGAGAGTGCTATATTCGAAACTCCTGGGGGGGGGGAGGTGGTGGAGGGAGGAGACTTGAGTCAATTTTTTTGTTTGGGTATGAGCCACTGGCGTCTTAGAACCCCCTACCTCTTTATAGTCTATTCTGTGTCCAATTATGGAGCTCATGTTAGTCACTTTTGTTAATATGGTAACAATTTTTAACTACAAATCTTCCCATTTTAAAATCCCTATTTACCAAAAACTTTTCTGCCAAAATCCTGAAAATGTGTGACCCTATTCTTGTAACACAATTGAAAGAGAAACCTCACTATGGTCAATCCAATCGTAAAAATGTGACCCTATACAACATGATATCCCTATTAGCCTGTTTCTAGGAAATAACCTTCTCCCTCAGGGTTGAAAGTTCCAGCTGTCCACATTTATTAATAATCTTTTTCAAACTTTTTAGGGATGATGAAGAATCTCCAGAAAAAAGTCCATGGCTCAATGCTCACCAAGATCCAGTTGCACAGCTCTACACCTTTTCCACATCAATTTCCTTGGCAGATCTGAATGCTGACTCTGACCACAAACTCCTTGTGGCTGACCTGGGCACAGGCACATTTGACATGAAACTGAAGGTTTTTAAGGGAACTAGTCTGTTTATGGAGAGTGCTATCATTGATCTGCCAACAGCTTTGGTAACATTTTATATGGACACAAATGATCCACGCACACCTGCCGTCGCAGTTGCTTCAGGACCATTCATCTATGTGTACAAGAATTTGAGGCCTTATTTTAAGTTCACTTTACCACCTCTGGAAGTGAATGCTGTGGAGCAAGATCTCTGGAACCAGGCTAAAGAAGACAAGATTGACATTCATGTGCTCAGGGAGATGTTGGAGAGTTTGAAGAATGAAGGAAGTGAGGGTTTCCTTACTGTACGCTCACTGAAATTACTGTCCCTTGAGCCAGAGGAGGTTGAAGCTTTTGCAAGTGTTCACAAGCATGCCCCACTGAAGAGGCAAACAGTGATTACTTGCATGGGAACAATGAAAAAGAGTATGGCTGATGATGATGCTGTTAGCTGTTTGGTGATTGGAACAGAGAGTAAGGATGTCTTTGTTCTTGATCCTGAAGCTTTCACTGTCCTTGCAAGAATGAACCTCCCCAGTGTACCAGTATTCATCTCAGTCAATGGTTTATTTGATGTGGAATTCCGAATTGTAGTTGCATGCCGAGATGGTAAGGTATACACCTTGAAGAGGGGTAATAAGATGGCCAAGGCATGCATTGAACTTGGAGCCCAAGCAGTTGGTTTAGAGCGCACGGGAAAGAGCATTATTGTGGGGTGTATGGATAACACACTGGTTTGTTACTCCACCAAAGGGAAAAAGCTGTGGACAGTGTACCTCCCCTCCAGTATCACCACCATGAGCCTTATGGATCACAAAGCAAGGGGTTTTAAGGCTGTCATGGTAGCCATGAAAAATGGTGAAGTTAGGATCTACAAGGAGAAATATGTCATCAATACCATCAAAATGCCAGATGCAGTGACTGCTATGAAGTTTGGTCGGTTTGGCCGGGAGGAAAGTGCCTTAATTCTCATCACCAAAGGTGGAGGCCTTTATGTGAAAATCTTGAAGAGAACTGCAAACTTTGAAGGCAAGGATTTGACTCCTGGACCACCTCAGGCACAATCTATCAAGCTCAACGTTCCGAAGAAGACGAAGCTTTTTGTGGATCAGACGTTGCGTGAACGTGACAGTGCTGGCAGCATGCATAGAATGTTCCAACATGATCTATACCTCATGCGCCTCATGGCTGCAAGGGCATATGTCAGTGCACTTCAGAAAAGTTTGAACCCGATTTCCTCTTCTACTACAGAACCTCTGAAGCTTTCAGCTCAAGTTCAGGGAATTGGGCCTGCCTTCAAGCTGACTGTGAATCTTCAGAACATTTCGTCAAGTGTGCCATCCACCAACCTCCTCATCACATTTCAGTTCGATGACTCCCTGTATGCCCTGTCTAAGCCTTGTATTACTGTTCCTCTGCTTGTGCCAGGCCTAATGTACACTTATGAAACTCTTGTGGAGTGTATCAGTGATAAAGGGATTTCAGATTCAATCAAAGTGTTTGTTTTGCATCAAGGAAATAGCATTCCTGTCATTACTGCTGTCATTAATATGCCTGTTAGTGAGGCTCTGGTTATTGTGTAGCCATAAGAACTACAGTTTATGTTACCAAGACTGTTCTCACAGTTCAGTGACTTAATTATTTATTACAAAATCAGAAAAGATATTTTGTTTAGTTGTCTCTAAATTAGTGCAAGACCATGATTGATATGCTGTTCTTTGCATTTTCCCTTTATAGGGCACTTGCATGACCATTAATTCATGTACAATAACAAAGTTTTAAAAAGTTGTGTTTCATAATTGTGGTGAAAACTCCTGTTGATCACCCTTTCCACTCTAACATCATTATGCATATTCTCTGTGCTGTTCTTTATACATTTCATAAGGTGCTGACAGGGAGAATTTGTTTAACAATCAAGAGCTTCTTTGGTTGGTAATCATTTCCTTTCCTGTCATGATTCAGGGGTGATATTAGAAGGAGAAATATGCAGCCAGTAACTCTTAGTCTTAGGGGTAAAAGGGCCAAGTATCATTATTTATTGATCCTCATCAGAAGTCACCACAATGTGAGACTGATTATTTTTCACTACAGTGACATTGTTTACTTATTCCAAAGGCCTTGTATACTCTTCATGGGGTGTTCAAAATTTTCAGTATGATCAGTGTTAAGCTAGCCCAGACAACACTGGCTAAGAACTGGTTGGAGCACATCAAGTACATAGCTATGACATAAATCCCTATTTGACGCAAGACTTTCGGAAAGTACTGATTGATAAGAGAATAAGTGGAGATTATTGGTAGACAAGTTACTTAGAACCAGTATGGTAGAATAATTGTGATTAGAGCCCATTTGTGTAGATTTATAGTTTTCCATAGATAAATGATCAGAGAGGGAAATTTAAACAATTCTGAATGCTAAAGAAGGATATTGTGTCTAGGGCTTGCATACTGTTTTAACTCTTTAACTCCCGGAAGGGATTAACATGTAACTTCTCCCTCTTATATTCCTGCATTATCCAGCAAAAAGGTAGTGAGAATAATCAAACTTATCAATCTCCTTTGATCTGAGCTTGTTTCTCCGTCGCTCGTAATCAAAATCAGTCTTCAAAATGAACTTGGTTCCCCTACACCGAATTTGTTCCAACTTTGTGATATTTCTGAATGTGTGGTGACCACATAACAGTGCAAAATGCGATATTACCAGGGAAAGGTACAAAGTTCTCAGTGTAGAAACATTGATTCTGAAGTCATTTACAGGTTCTCCTTAAAATACCTTGGGTCTTGTTAGCCTTACTTGAAATTTTATCACTGAGTGTTCCGAGACCGATTAAAGTTGGTAACCGAGCAAAGATCACGAAACTTAGATGTTAAACCCAAGATGATATTGTTACTCGAGCTTACTTAGGAACGTTCGAGTCTAAAAATGCAAGCCGTTTTTTTTCCCTTTCCGCATCGTCTTCCAGGGTGTTCGTAGTTCAGACGCGGATAACTTAGAATGGGTTATCCCCCACCCCTTCTACTAGGTTTATTTCTGTCCCCATAATCATAGTACTGTCTTC